TTGCTTATTTTTATTTATTATTTTTTTTTTTTTTCTTTTGCATTTGCGTGGGCGAATTCTTGATGTTACTTTATGGTCTGTGCAACTCGTCTCGGGTTCCGTTATCCGTTATGGCCAAATATTCAAATGTCTCGATGCTAATTTTAGCAGGTTGGCGGTATTAACAGCCGACAAAAGCGCTGAAAGCTACGCAATGCTAATGAAAACGAAATAAATGCGAAAACCGTGTCCAAATGTTTAACCATAAAAGCAACCAGATATTAATATTCAAATGGAAAAGGCAAGAATGCAAGACTTTTGGGTTTATAACATAAATATATAATTTAAAATAATGCAATCTAATATTGTTATTATTTTCAAATCGATTTTATTAATGAATTTTTCATATTTTTCAAAAGAAATTGCACGCCCAAAAACTTCTTTGTCTACTTTTAGGAAGCCAGTACTTTGTAATTAAATATCTAGCACATTAAAAGAAAAAAATTACAGAGAACTAGGTGAAATAACACATATTTTTATGTTTTATACCACCACCCAGTAAATTTTGTTATTTTCTGTGCATTCGAGAACACACGTTTTTGACTACCAATATTAGGAAAACACCAAAAATTTGCACAGAAATTAATGTCAGCTGACTCGTTTGGTTTTGCCAGTTTTTTCTTATTTTTTCGTGGTGCTTTGCACACACACCTGTCACATCGCCGTCATCTGCAGGTGAAGAGCCGAGAGATAAGCCGAGAACGTTGCGTTAATTGTTTTCTTTTTTTTTTTACTCCACGGACGTGAAACGCAATATAGCAGAGAGCAGTAGGTAGAAAAAAAAACATAACCGGCAGATGGTAGATAAGCGAACAGTAAACAATTCGCATATCTGCTGAAAAAAAAGAAAGACCGAGGGGGATTCGATCTGAAAAGGTGCTTCTATCTGCAGAAGAAGAAATGCATATACCTAAATACTTTTTGGTATTAATATAATTTTATCTAAATTATAATTTTCAGAAATAAGTATAGCTTTCTTAAAAAAAAAAAAAAAAAATAAATAAATAATAATTATAATGGAATGATAAAAATTGAAGTTATTAGAAGATAAAGCTAATAATCACAGGTGGATACTAAGATTCGTTGAAGAATTTTAATTACCGAAATCGGATATAGAGTTAATAAAAGATAACATTTCGTGTGTTTTTTGGTGGTGTAAATAGGAAATTTCGCTTCCGGCAAACAACTATTCAGTTTTCCTTGAGAGTATCTCGTTTTATTGCTTATAAATATATATAGGCCAGAGAGATAAACCTCTAAGGTTCCGTTTCGTCATTTGTTTGTTTTTGGGGCGGGAACCAACCAACAAAAGTTGTAAAAATAAATTGATTTTCCCTGGCTGTTTTTCATTTTACCACATTTTGCCAAGTGGAAAGCGCGCCACGCTAAGAGGCATGCGTGCACGCACGTAGTCCAAAAAAAGTAAAAACAAAAACAAAAATCGAAAAGAAAACGAAAAAAAAGCATGATAGAAAAGCGGAAAATAAAACAACAAAGGAAACCAACCAAAGAGCGGGAGAACAATGTTTGGTGGGGTGGTGCATTTTTTGGTGGTGGCTGCCGTATCTAAAACCAAAACGAAATTAAGTTTCTATGTATTTCAAATATTAATTTTACCGCTATAAAGATACAGTTACACTTGCAGCTAAACCTATACAGATAAAGACTCGGCTAAACACAGGCACAAATCCATCAATCGCATTTTTTTGTTGAGCGCCTGCCAGCTCAGCTGATGACGAATTCTCTCTCGCACCGGCAGCGGCGGCGTATTTGCTATTTTTATGCATTTCATTTTATTCAATCAACAAAATTGTAGTGTAACCGACAACAACAGCAATAGTGCAGCAACAACAAAAACAACAGCAGCAGCAGAAAAACAGACGCGCCATTTATAGAAGTCAGCTGCTGTGGCCAGAAAGGGAGAGCATTAGCCGCGCCGCCACTTCCAACTGGAAAGCTTGAGAGAGCACATGTTTACCAGATAGTGGAAAGAGAGAGAGCACGCGAAAAAGCTTGGGCCCACATGTTTTTTCGCTACGTCTGGTTTCCGTTTCACGGAACGAACGGCAACGAAACGAAATGCTGCTGGCTGTCTCGCTCTGGCGCGCGCTGTCATTACCCCTACCATAACATGTTGAGAGAGCTACTCGCTCGCTCTCTCTAGCAACATTTGTGACGACGACGGCGACGCCGGCGAATATTGAAAAACTTTTCGTATTGGAACTGTTGCTGGCTTCTGAACGGTGGTGGTGGTGTTGGAAAAAAGTACAGTCACCGCAAAAACGGCCAACGCTCGCTCTGCCGCTGTCGCAGCCGCTGCCGGCGCTGTCTGCCGTCTGTTGGCTGCTGCTGTTGTTGTTGTTTTTCCTTTTGCCTTTGTTGTTGGTCGGTTGGGTTTGGGTTGCGTCTGAATTGGATTCTTGTTGGACCCGCGCGCGAGTTTGATCGTCTTTTTATTTTTCCCTTGCTTTGTTTATGCTTTTGGTTTTGGGTTTGACTTTTTGTTTACACACTCACACTAGCCAAGGAATATGTATACTCATATCGTGTGGCAGTGCATAGACTTTATTTGTTTTTCTTTTTCCTCTCGTTTCACTTGCCGGCATTTCCCAAGCCACAAAAACAACACTGGGCAGCAGCGTCGCGTCTGCGAAGCCAACGACATTTTCTTATTAGCCAAGGCCTGAACTTGCCGGCAAGTAAGCGTGAGAGAGCGAGTGAGAGGGCCATAGCTCTTACTACCATATGATATTGGAATGGGATATATAAGGACATATGATTATTCCAACTAGACCGGGCAGCAAGTGCATATAGAAATCTGAAAAGCTAAATTAATTCAATTTGATTTTTGGAAAAAATCAAAAAGAACAAATTTACAATGAAAACATAAGATTGCAAAATAAATGTAATTAGAGATAAAGTAAACAAAATACTAAACAAATATACATAAACATAAATTAGTTTGTTCTTTCTTCATATTATTAAAGCGTTTCCATAGCCTTTTGTTAGTTTTCAAAGATAAACATACTGATATTCCCCCTTTGTCTTTGCCTAATTTAATGAGTGTTTTATCAGACAAAGCGGCAACTCCCTTGCGAGCTGCCGTGCTGCTTCTTATCATTCCATTCCAATGCCAGAGATCGGTTTCCAATAGGCAATTACTCAGCTGCGGTGTCAATGAACGACCTTTGTGTGAGCAATAATCACTATGTATTCGCTGAGCGGCTAGAAAACTTAAATATGCTACATTAGATTCGATCGCCTGTAAAAAATGCGCACGTTTCTCGGCATTGCAATGCCGCTCTATGTTATGGAAATAGATACAGAGGTGCAACAACAATAATAGAACTGAGAAAACTGTACACAACAACCTCTCCCCCTCTCGCTCTATCTCACTTACAACAACAGTGATTGGGGGGCCTACAGCTGGTGTGCAATTGTGAGTGGGAGAAAGGCAGGGAGTTGCAGAGGTGGAGAGTATACAGTGAGCGAGAGAGCGGGAGACTGAGAGAGCGAACAGCAGCTGTGCGGTGCCGGCGTCTGTCTGGCAATGCCTGCTTTTCTTTTGTTGTTCTTGTTGCTCTTCCAGTAGTGACCTCCGACAACAAAACCGAAACCGAAACAAGTTTTTGCAACAAAAACAAGAACAAGAGCAACACACAATTGCACAAAAGTAGCCAAAGATTTATTGCTTTTTAATCAAAGCCCCAAGAATGCAGGCTTACGCATTCCAATGGGGTAAGTGTGCAAAGCATCCGAAGAAAATTGCTGAATGACACTAGATGTCCAGGAATATCAAAATCAAAAATTTAACTTATCCATAAGTGAGATTTTCATATGCAAATTGGTGAGTTTTTGTAATACCAGCTTTGGTTTGTTTTTTTTTTTTTTTGTGGAAATATGCTTACATTTTAAAACACAATTTTTCAATTTACTGGCTTTAATAAATTTGTGCATTTAGCTCCAATTTTTAGATTCTATTTGAAATTCCCCTAAAAAGCACACATTGGCTCAGTTCCTAGATGCTAAAACTTCTCTAAAACAGCTCCTTTTCCCGACTTCTGGCTCTCACTTAAAAATATGTGGCTCAACCACAACATGTCGCCCACGCAGCACGCATATTTGCATGTTTTTGCCTGCCCCAGGCTGCTTTCTAAGCCAGATTTTACACCGTTAATGCATCCTCTCCGTTAGATTCCCCACCTTTCTCTCCATTTCTTCCCACGAAGCCTGCCAGTGTTGGACAGAGCGTAAAGGGTAAAGAGCGCGCGCATTTTGAAGGACATGAGTTCCTTCACCTTTCCGCAAGAAGCATACAACATCAAAAACAGCAAGGGAATCATCGCTTACTACAGTGTTTACTATAAACATCATAGCCGCATTCGCAGTCAAGGCAATAACAAAAAAATGCAAACAAAAACAGCAAAGGCAAAAAGGCAAAATGCTAAAGCAACAAGCCATGTATGTATGTATACATATGTATGTATATATGTTTATGTTGTTGCAATTAAGTCGGCTCTCGGCAATTATGCTTCGTACTCATCCTCCTCCTCCTTCCCATCTCTCCTTCTTTTTCCTACCCCTTTTCTTGAAGATTCCCCTATATGTGTTTCTTCTGAATGACTTTTATTGTGGGGAGAAAGAGAAAGAATCGAAGAGAATCTCATTATTAAAGGGCCAATAATTCCCCTGTACTAATGATAATTAGACCAAGACAAAAATACAGAGGAAAATTAAGATATTAAGGCATTAAAATTAAATTACTTTGGATTTAAAAAAGCTTTTAAAACACCATAGGCTCAAGATTGAGGATGATCCTACTTAGAATTCCTTTGATTCAGACTTAACAGTAATTAAGACTTAACAGTGATTGTTAAACTCAGTAGTTTTAAGAAACTATTTTTAACTACAACAAATCAAAAAGAGAAAACCCTTTTAATTATAATTAACTATACTTTCAGGCTGCCATCCTGCAACAGACCTTCCAGTACATCGTGGATCTAGAAAACCAGAAGACGCAGCTGCTGACGCAAAACAGCGAACTGAAGCGACAGGTGGGCGAGCATGAGGCCGGCGGCGGTGGATCCGGCGAGGCCAACTCTGGTGGTAACTACAACGATTCCAGCGCCAACAACAACGGGGGCAACTCTACGACGGCAGTGGCTATCAAGAAGCGCAAGCTCACCGATAACGTGATCAACATCCAGGCGATTAGCGACAGCTCCGACGAAGGCCTGGGATCCATGTCCCCGGAACCGATGACTCTTCTGACGGCGGGCGGAGCAGCCGCCACCAAGCTGAGCAGCGCCAGCATTCTGGCCGCCAAGGAGCTACTCGAGATGAAGAAGCAGCTGGAGAAGGAGCGCAGCTTGCGGCGATTGTTGGAGGACGAGCTGCAGATGATTAAGCGGCAGCTGTATAGCGTGGCCACTGCGCCACCCGGCACAGCAGTGGCAGCCGCATCAGGCGGTAGCAATGCCTACATTCCACGCGAGGTCATCGAGCACACCGATAACTTTGTGCGCAGCGAAGATCTGGAGGAGTTGGGCGGCACCGTCTCGTACGTGGAGATTGACGAGATGACGGGTCAGCAGCAGGTAGTTGTCTGCTCTAGCATTGAGGAGCTGGAAGCAGATGCCGCCGCCGAGATCATTACCGAGGATCAGGTGCACGAGGAGGTCATCCTATCGTCGAATAGCTCTACGGAGTCTGAGAACGAGGTGAACGTGAATGCCATTGCCAAAGCCTATGCCGAGGGCTGTACGTCGAGTGCGGCCATGCTGCAGCCCATCCTGCAGGCGGCCATCAAAGCCACGCCCAAGGTGGAGGTGGAGCGCATCCACGAGAAGATTGTCAAGGTCAAGACGGAGAAGCACGAGCAGCAATCGATCCAGGCCGCCACCCACTATCAGCATCCGCATCGCCAGAACCTGGAGACCATAGTCCAGGCCATCCGCCATTTGGAGGGCGATCATCTCTTTGCGGACGAGCAGCAGCAGCGTGGTCAGCAGCACCATCACCAGCACCATCAGCTAACCGGCGTGCACCATCACAGTCACAGACTGGCGCAGGATGCTCCATTGGCCCTCACCACCACGGGCAAGCAGCATGCGGCACTGGCCGAGCTGAGACCCTTCCTTCAGCTCAAAAGCGGCGGCAACAAGCAGGTGATCATCACGGCCAAGACGGCAAAGGATGCCGGCGGCCTTGTCTCCTCCTCCAGCAGTAGTGCAGTCACGCCGACGGCCATCTTCAAGGTGCAGACGACTGGCGGCAGCGTATCCAACTCCGGGCACTCGCAGGCTGTAATTAGCGGCAGCAACACCCAACAGGTGACCATCACCACGACCGCCCTGAAGCAGTGCCGGCCGGGCGTCATAGTGGCCAAGCAGTTGCCGTCGTCCTGATTCAATGGCCCCAAGATGGGAACGGGATTGGGATCGGCAACTGGAGTCGCAGCAGCAGCAGCAGGAGCAGGAGCGGGAGCGGAAATAGTGGCTGCTATGGCAGCCGGCAGATGTGGTGGTGCAGGAGCTGTTTCTAATTCACGAGCTAGTATTAAAGGCGCTCGCCAGACACCAGCAGCAGCAGCAGCAACGTCAACAACAACCACAACCACTCAACAATTTACTAAGCAGAATCCTCCATTTGCAGCCTCGCGGCAACAACGTAAAAGTAGTGGCAGTAGCAGCAAGGAGACTGCTATTAAACAACCGAGGTCGAGGCAAAAGTATGTAAATTAGTAAAACTTAAACGGAAAAATAAGAAACAAAATCAAAAAATCTAAAAAAAAGAAGATGGATACCAAGCGCAGACCTAAATAATTTTTTGTATTTTTGGGATAATAAATATATATATATATATGATTTAAATTAGAACTCAACCAAACCTATTTCCAAGCTTAGAACGCCAACAATAAAACAAAAACCCAACAATCCAACAACTCATCGACCTACAACAATCCAAAAACCAACAATTCAACAACAACACATAGCCACTGTAATTAAACGCAAAGAAAAAATACACGTCGTAACATTTGTTCATTTATTGGTTAAGAAAAAACTAGAATTAAAATACAGAAAACATAAAAAAAGCAACTACAAGAAAAACAGAGCAATTGATTTACGACAACAAACAAAAAATAGAACAGAAAACGAACAGAAAATAACGAAACAAACAAGATAAATTGAACGAAAACAAAACAACAAAACAGAGAGTACAAAGAAAGAAGAAGAAAAGAAAATAGACATAAAATTTATGAATTTTTCTGTTTATATTCATTTTTTTGAACTCTATAAACACCATCGCATTAATTTTTACTTTTTTTAAATTATTATTTTTATTTGTAATTTGAATACATATTATACTATATATTATATACTTTGAATGCAACTTATTGAGTTTTTGTTGATATATTTGTGTAAAAATTTTTTAAGTCTAATTATGTAAGCGAATGAGAGAAAAAACCCTAAAAAAAAAACGTAAAAAATAATTCGAAATAAAACCACAAGCAAAAAATTAAAACAATCTAAAAAAAAACAGAACTAAAAACATAAAAAAACAAGTGGAAATCGTTTATTATATAAACTATTATAAAATACATATATATATATATAAATATAAATTATATACAAATTATTCATACCTACCATAAACATAAACATATATAAATAGTACACAAGCAGAGTACATAAACACATAAGTAACGGAACATTACATAATATTACTACTAAACTACAATAAAATAAAACACAAGGATACTTTGCATACATATTTAATATGCTTTAGTGACATAAGTATGTACGACCATCCTCGATCCTTCTCCCCAAGTCCCCCAAATTCTTCTCCCCATTTAAGAATGCGTATGCCTGAGGGAGAGGGCGCTACGTGGTTGTGTGTGCGCGTTCTCTGCAGAACCGACAACTCTCTTCTTCGCCAAGCCGCGCCGATGCTGTGCGTTTCGTAGCTGCCAGCTGCAACACCAAGTGTACCAGCAATCAGCTCGATCCTATTCGAAATTCGAATCTGAGCTCGAATTTTCTTTGCGTTCCGCGCAGCATTGCCGCGGCTTGGCGTCCCGCATTATTTCCCCACAAGGAGAGAGATATGAGAATGATGAAGAGAGATCGGTAGTTGCCTGCAGAGGACTAGCAGCACGCATACAATCACACGATACCGCACGCTCATGTGTCCTGCATTCGAATTATGATTAAGAAAACAACAACAACAACATTATGCAGGCCGTTTAATAGTTAAACAAAGAAAATTATGTACGAAAATCGAAAATTGAAATTGAAGCCAGATCCATACATACAACCACATATTACTACATACATTCATATTCATGCTCTTATATGAAAACAAAAACTACAAACAAAACAAAACAAAAAAATTACAAAACATTATGTCAAATAAATGGTTTTTCCTTTTTCCCTCAACAAGAAAATGACTTACAAGTTGATTTTTAATTCTTTTTGGGGGGTGGAGTTTTTAATATATTATCTTAAAAGGGCCTTATATTTTTAAGATACAATTTTAACAAGGTAGTTCTATGGTGTATGCCTAAATTTAGTTATTTTCTTCGCCTATTTAATCCACAAATATTAAGATGTGATTGACTTGAGGAGGAAATTTTTGAGTTTGTCGATTCTCGTTCGAAAGTGAAGAAGTCATTTTCAATGTCAATGAAATGAAAATATTGATTTAAAGTCCCTAAAGTGCCATTAGCTTAGTTCCTTTTAGTGGCATCTGAAAGCTAAAAACCTAATGGTTGGTATGAGTCATATTCATATTTTCCAAAATTTTTCAAAATATTAAATTTCGTTCTTGGAAATTTTAGAATTCCTGCAATAACTGGGACTTGATTTTGGTATACTAGTTGATTTCTATACTTATATTCTTATTCTCATTAGTATCTCTCTATCACTAGCTTAATAATAAATTAAATCATACTACAATTGCTCCACTTCGATTTGCAAATCCGCTGAAAAGACATACATATCCCGGCGCCTGGCAAAGAGCAGCTCCTGCCGTTTGGGATGAGTGGCCAACGAGTGAACAACACCGCCATTATCACCTACAAAGACAGAAAATCATTAATTCAAAAAGCTACCAACCAACCACAACCTCCTTACTGATTCGAATACGTTGGAGAACTTTGCCCTCGAGCAGGTCCCAGATCAGAGCATCGCCGTCACTGGACCCGGACACAATGTGGGCATCGTTGGCCAGTATTCCGCACTCGATGTGATAGTCATCTCCCCGGTGGCCCTTGTATTCGGATAGCAAGCCTCCCGTCTCACAGTCCAGCAGTCGCACCACGCTATCCTGGCAGCCAGCCACCAGGCACTGCTCGTCGCGCGTTTGACCCAGATAGGTGATGGGTTCGCCCACCTTGTCGCAGGTGAGTTCACCCACACGGATATCGTAGGTCCGCACACAGCCGTCCAGGGAGGCAGCATAGATCTTGTTCTCGTTGGTCAGCACAGTGGTGATGCAATCGCGAGCCTCTTTCATCACCTGGACGGGATCTAGGCGTCGTGTTCGGATGTCCCAGCACATGACGGCATTGTCCCGGCCGCCGGAAATGGCCACCGAAGAGTCCTCGTTGAAGCAAACGCAGCGAACGCCGCCGGCATGGCCACGCAGGCGTCTTACAGGGGTTCCTAAGTGATCAATTAAACGTTAATATAAGTAGCTGGAGTTAGAGCTTGGAGTCTCTCACCTGTGGACACGTCCCAGTAGATAATGCTCTTATCCAGGCTGGCAGAGACAATGTAGCTGCTCTCACAGCTGCCCGCAGCATCGGTCACCTCGTCCGCATGTCCACCGTAGGTTTTGAGAAGTAATCCCGACCCCGGGTTCCACAGTTTTATCTTCTTGTCAGAGCCACAGCTCAAGCAATAGGTGCCGTCAACTAAGGAAATTGCAATAGATATTGTAATTTCAAGAATCTTTAACTTTATTTAACTTTCCCTATTTAATTATTTAAGTTAAGTAAAAGAGAAGATTTATTCACTTACCATTGTAGCGCACAGCTCGAACTGCTCCTTGCTTGCAGTCAATCGTGGTTTTTACATTAAAATTGGCAAAAGTCGGCATGCTATTTAATTAAAAATAAATATAAAACGTAAACAATTAAATGGTGTGACCACCTTGCTTGTATTTATTATTATATATCGATAGGCAGTTTTTTATATATCGATATTAACCATGCACGGCGCCATTTTAGAGATTTAAAATACTTCCAGCTCGAGTAACAATTTAAATAATTTAAAAAATTACTACATATATTCACAGGGTATTTGTACACAAAAATACATTTTTTTTGTGTTTTTACTTTTTATTTTTAATTTTTTAACGGGGTAAATTTTAAATTTGGTTTACATAAATTAACTGAATAAACTTCAAATATAATTGCCAATAAAATGGAAAGGAATTTTAAATTTTGTTCACATAAGTTATCTGAAAAAACGCGAAAAATAATCGCCAATTAACTGGAAAGCATTGGACGATCCTGCAGTATCCTGCAGAGTCTGTGCCGCACGATCATAGCTCTGTCGGGCGATTGAAGTTGGCTGCATATTTGCGTTACTGGTAACCTGTTCAAGGATAAATTCAGTTTGAGTACCTTTGGACGCAAGTTTTTTCAGAACCGATTTTTTGGCCTTCTTCTTCATAGCTATAGTTTTCTTAGTTCCTCTGATCTTTTCGTCTTTTACCCCAGGTTCTTTAATCTTGCACTGTTTGTTTGCATTCATTAACGCAATTCTTGCGGACCTTCTCAAAACCTTAGTAGGGGGACATTGAGTTTGTTCCTCAGAAACAGAACCTTGATTTTGTTCCTGGGCAATTGGAATGATAATGTCCTCAGAAACATTACAATTTGTAACTTGATTCTGGTAATTGCAAAGGGTTTTATCCTCCTGATATTCCATTACATGAATATTCTGGTTAGTGGGAAGACTATTCAACGCCTGATTTTGTTCCTGGGCATTTGGAATGACAATTTCCTGAGAAACAGAACATTGATTTCGTTCCTGTGCATTTGGAATGACGATGTCCTGAGAAACTGAATACTTTTTTCGTTCCTGGCCATTTGAAATACAAATTTCCACAGAAACATGGCCTGCTGTAACTGGATTCTGGTTATTCGAAAGTGTATTTTCCTGCTGATATTCCATTACATTAATATTCTGGATAGTGGGAAGACTATGCACCGTCTGATTTTGTTCCTGGGCATTTGACATGTTAATGTCCTCAGAAACCGAATATGGTGTTTGTTCCTGAGCATTTGGAATAATAATGTCCTCAAAAACCGAATATTGATTTAGATCCTGGCCATTTGTAACTGGATTTTGGTTATTGGAAAGGATATTTTCCTGATGATACTCCATTACATCAATATTTGGGTCAGTAAGAAGAGCCTGCATCGCCTGACGCTTTCTAGCATTCATATTCGCAATTCTTTCCGACCTCCTGAAATCTGAGAACGCAGAATTTATATTTAAATCCTCGTTGTCCTGATTCTCTACCTCCATGTATTCAATTGCATTAATATCACAAGGAGTATCTGCATTTTGATTTCGATCCTGGTTAGTGGAACGTCCAGCGGAACTACCAGAGATTCGTGGGCTTACAATAGCTGTTCTTGGGTCTAAGCGGGCAGTTTTTCTTTGGTCAAGTGTGGACTTTCTTGAAACGGGCGGCATTTTTGTATATAATACTTAGAAAAGTATATTTTAAAATTGTAGCAAATATATCCGAAGCTTGTAAAATGTGAGAGAGTCTCAGCCTGAATGACTGCTGACAATACGATCTAAATTATGTATATGAAAAAGCCTCCTTTGGAATCGGTGAGACAAACTAAATATTCAATAATTTTCCCAATTTGTGCATCTTACTAATTGTGTTTGCCGGTTTTATAATGAAATTAAATGACTATAATAAAATAAGTTAAGCGATACCTAAACCATATTATATATAGTATAGTAGATAAATAAACCAAATTTACTAAATAACGTGATAGATTTCAAATTCCACAGATAATTAGGAGCTTTACAACACTTTTTGGAACAAAGCCAATGACGAAACAATCGATAGTGCAATCGATAGTGGCATCGACTGTTTGCCAGCTCCATTACACCCCCACCCCCCATTGAATAACGTAAACACAACACAACGCAATTATATCGTCGGAATTTTACCTGGTTTTCACCTGGCCCGCCGCGTATCTAAACCCACTTAATTAGCGCCAAATTACAGCGGAAATAATGCTTACATTAAATCGAATCGAATTCGCTGAGATACTTTGGGATTTCGGGTCGACAAGTGCAACTGCGTGTCAAGTGGAAATCCGCTGAAGGGGGTGGCGACAGCGGCTGCAGAGACAAGAATAAAAACAAAAACAAGTGACGATTGAAAGGTGCGAGAAACTCACCTGCCCCCGTGAGCCCCATTACTGATGACGTGGATGGCGAAGGACACAGGATATATACATTATTTTTCGCAGCAACTGCACTACACTCGCGCGCATACACACACACACACACATGCAAGCACATGCAGAAAACCAGTTGTTTGCCGTTTTGGTGTTGTTGTTGCAAATAAGAAGTGCAAGTGAAGCGCAGCAGCAAAAATCCTGCTCTTAAGTACAAACGAAAAAGGCGAAAAAAAATAAGCAAAAAGGGCCGAAGGTGCGCGACAACGACAAAAAGTTGTTTGTCAACTTGTTGCCAATGTTGCAGCCACAAAGTGGCTGTACAAACGGCAGCACCAACAGCCAATCGCCAGTGGCCATTGTGCATCCGACAAATCCAGGCAGCGGCAGCAGGATAATAACGAGCTCGGTATCGGGCTAGGAACAGGTGGAAAAAGGCGTAAGCTGTGCCCTAACTTGGCCAATTGCTCGATTTTTAATTGATTTATGTTTTTGCTTTTACCAAAATATTTAGAAGAAGCTTTAAAACAAGCTAGTAACAGGTGGAAAATTAAGGTAGGACTCCTAAGAGCTACTCGGGTAAGTTGCAACACATACCGATTAAGTCTTGTATTAAACCTTATTTTCTTCCAAGAAAATCTCGTTAAAGAGGCTAAAAACAGGACACAGAAATTAGCAAGGCTTTCAAGCTGCATATTTGGGTAGGTTTGTTATCTTATTTATTGATATTGTTACTTATTTTCCACTTTTTTTAGGTACACAAATAATGCCGATTTAGGATAAAGAAAAGAGTCTAAAGAAAGAGATATCCGGCTTAAAAAATATCGCAGAAAGCATTTACTGAATATCATAGATACACGAACAATTAAAAGTAAGTAGTAACACCTTATCTAAATCCAAATCTTTTTAATATATTCCTGTGTTTTTTCAGGCATTTGAAACTTGGCAGTCCACGAATACAACTATATCCTTCAGGACACTAAAACCTACCGGCTATAGTATATAACCGTCCCCCCACAAAAAAAAAAAAAAAAAAAACATGTCGACGATTACTAGAAGTGCCAGTGCTAGTCCCATGGCCCTGAATGGCATTATTGATGCCAGCTTGTTCCCGCTAAAGTCCACCTCCGATGTCGTCAATCTCTTTCGTCGCGCTTTGACCTCCGGCATCGAGCCCGATCTTACCCTCCTCTCCATTGTGGTTGGCTACATAGAGCTATCGCTGACGACGGGAGAGGCTGCTGCCCAGGCCGCTCAAGCAGCCGCCGCCGCTGCAGCTACAGCGGCAGCAGGTGACATCAGTCAAAACGCGACAGGTGTGTGTTTAACCAATCATCATTTACCGGTCGCGTTTACCGTTAACCATTTATCAAAGGGGGAAACCAGTTAAAGCGGAAACGAAAGGGCAGACAAATTGGGAAACGCGTTTTAAGGGTCCTTGTTTGGGATTAAGGTTGAAGCTGAAGAGAAGGCCCTATTTAACAGGAGGGATGTCTTTACGTTTTACACAATTAATTGTTTTAAAAGTCTTAAGTTTTTCTGTCGTAATTAGGGAGGGCTGTCAATATTAATATATCGATGTAGTAGCAATAGTTGATCTGGAAGCCACATAAATTGATATAATTATAATAGAATATAATCATAAAATTTTCTTCCAATTACCAAAAAATACAGGTGGAAATGATGTAATCATGGGCAACAGCGTTCCCTTCCCGGTGGTGACACACGAACTGATCGCCGGGCTATATAAAAAGTTCCAAACGATTCTGTCCGTGGTGGAAAAGCCAAAACCGCATCGCCAGGCCACTCGGGAGGTGATCAAAAAAGTGTCGGACGTGATTTGGAACTCGCTGATCCGGAGCAGCTACAAGGATAGGGCCCACCTGCAAAACCTCTACAGTTACCTGTCCGGCAACAAGTTGGACTGCTTCGGCGTTGCTCTGGCTGTGGTGGCGGGCTGCCAGTTGCTTGGATACAAGGATGTGCGCCTGGCCATTTCGGAGGATCATGCCTGGGTGGTGTTTGGCCAGAAGCGAGTGGAGACCATCGAGGTGACGTGGCACGGCAAGGGCAGTGAGGATAAGCGTGGCCAGGACATACGGCCCGGTATCGAATCAGGATCATGGCTCTATTTGGGCGGACTGGCGGTGATCTGTGAACGAGGAATGGAAGTGGCGGCCATTTGTGCCGCTCTAAATATCTCGCTGACCTCGAACAGCGACTGCGTGGAGGTGGCCGACTTGCAGCAGCAGCTTTTGTGGCTGCTCTACGACCTGGGCCATCTTAAGCGCTATCCCATGGCGCTGGGCACATTGGGCGAGCTGGAGGAGATCCATCGCACCCATCCGAGCATCGGTTGCGAGCAGCTGTACCGCGAGGCAATCGATTCGGCGAGAACACACTATCGCAATCACCATGTCTATCCGTATACGTACCAGGGAAACTACTACAATCGATTGCTCAAGTACCGAGATGCCTTCGCTGCGTGGGCCAATGCGGCGGATGTGATCCGCTTGTATACGTATCAGTGCCGGGATGACGAGGAGATTTACAAGGAGCTGCTGGACATCGCCAACGAGCTGATACCGTATGTCATGAAAACCGAGAGTTCGGGCCACTCGGCAAGGAGTATCCTGCGAGATGCCGAAGTTTTTGCCAATCTTCTGCGATTCTATGACGGCATATGTCAGTGGGAAGAGGACAGCTTAACGCCCATCCTGCATATCGGTTGGGCCAAGCCGCTGGTTAATAATATCACCAAGTTTGACTATGACATCAGATCCCAGGTGGTCATCAAGTTGCCCGAGGATCTCGAGGCGGAACAAGCCAAGGCTGAACAGGAGGCTAAGGAGTCAAGGGAAGCAGCAGCTGTGGCATCTGGGGGATCCTCGGAAGCGGCTGAGGGAATTAACAACAACAATACGGTGGTTAAAAAGGAAGAGGTATGACTTTAAAGCTTTATTATTCATTTAAACCGAAAAAAATTGTGTGTTCTTACTCTTTATAGAAAGCAAAGAACTCGGAGTTGCCCACAACTCTGGCCGATCTAACAGCCGCTTGTGGCGAAAAGATTCTTAATCCCGACTTTCTACTTCAGGGCGGTGGTCAGCCCTTTGCCGATCAGAAACAACACCAGCAACAATCGTCTGGTGGAGGTGGAGGCGATGCCGACACAACAGAGCCCCACAACAACAACAATAACAATAATAGCAAAAGCAATAACAACAACAATCATAATAATACAGAAAAAAAGGAGGCTACACTAAACACAACAAGCAACGGAAGTGGAAACTCTGTCCAATTACCAGTTTCCAGCGACACTCGCACAGCCCAACAAGAAGCTAAGCCCGAGAACACCAGCGACGACTACGATCCCTTCGAGATAATGCTTAAGAAACCCGTGATCACACTGTACAGCCAGAAGATGAAGGGCCTGAAGGATCTGCTGCTGGCCGAGAAGCTTAATACACACGCTATTTCGCTTCAAGTCACCGCCCAGTCAGTGGCCTCGAGAAAAGTTCGCGGAGTGGAGAAGCACTCGGCCACGATTTCGGCCACAATTACAGCAATTTCTTCGAGTGACAGTTTACTGAGTGGTGGTGTTGGTGCCGCCGCTGGAGGAGGTGGGGTGAGTGGAGCAAGCGCCACTGGCAGATCATCATCCCCAGGAGGTGATTCTATAGCCGCCTCACGTCCCAAGCGAACGCGTCGTGAGTAAATCTTGTTGTTGGGAAAAATTCCCTATTAATCCATGATGTCTGTGTAAGTTAAAGGGGTGGCTCGATTTCATTTGATGAAAAAACACACAGAAGCACAAACTAGTTTTTTGGCCAAGGATTTTTTGAGGTTTTAATAGTTTTTTTTAATGTTGAAAACCAGAACTTGAATTAAAAACGTAAAAGATTTCCAGATTATTAAAAGCTCGAAGCCACCCCAAGAAAGGTAACCAAGTGTATATCTATATATATCGATTTATATGTATAGATTTATATGCTATCCATATTTTTGATGTTCGGTGTGTATTTATGTAGTTCGTAAGTGCAAAATGAACGTTAGAGAACGCCTAGCGTTTTAAAAAAGAAAACAAAAATGTAAGTGTAACATGCCCCGCAAACACACACGAATTAATAAGTTATTCTAAGTATTTATATAGCGTATTTTTTAGCTGTTATAGTTTTTCTCTTTTTTTATTTATTGCTACAACAACTATGTAAGTCTCTTACCCTCCAAACTTTTTTTTAATAATCGTTTAAGCGAAACTTTATTGGTGCTCCTTCTTCGAAAACAAAAAAACAGATAGAAATCCGGTTAACCGAAATCGAAAATAGTAACTAAACTTGGTATATTTATGTATTTACTTTAAAGCATTTTATTGAGGCTAAGCTGTTTAATTTTACTCTACACCTATGTATATCCTGTAATATTTAAGAAAAGGCAAAACTTTGTTACGACTTTTGACTTGAAGTTAAACAAAAACAACAACAACCCGAATGGTAAACAAATGAAATACATATTTAACACTTCCTCTATATATGTGATACAACACTTTTTCTAGAAAAGCTTTCATATAATATCTTAAAAAACTAAATAGAATTATCCACTCTCCACTCACACACATTGTAAGCGACAAAAAGGGGCTACAGTGTCTGACCCAAGACCTTATAATATCAAGATGCATAACGTTCAGTTTCATTTGAATGGCCATAGGCAAACAAAAATGGCGTGTCTCGTTACTCATCTTGTTATTATAGGATTTTTGATCTAATAACAGACCCTTGTTTATCCCTAAACCAGTCCAATATATGACTTACATGACCTATAACTTGTCACCCCATTTATGTAGCTACAGCAATTATAAACAAACTCGGAGCTTGTAACAAATTGTTAAATGATGATAATAATTGCATTGAATTTAATTTGATTTGTGCGTAGACAGAGAAAGAGAGATGGAGAGAGAGCAACTGTGATGAATAATAATGTTTAGAAGAGAAGAGAGAAATGAGGAGTGAAGGTGGTGAGCCCGAGACAACACACAAATCTGAAAAACAAATATTACTAACCAAGTGTATATGGTGTTTTATTCCTCAAATATAACATTAGCAGACTTGAAAGAAAACAAAACAAAAAATCAAAACCAACTATTTAATTATGTAGATTTGCAAGCAGCAGCAACTAAATATGTTAAACGTTGAACTACAGTTATATGTGTAAAAACATAAATGTAAACTTTAGATACTTAAACAAACAACAACAAGAACAACAATAACAAAGGAAGATATATACATATATATATATATTTTGGCATACAAAATTTTTAACATTAAGCAAGAGTTGAAGAAGTATTAAGAAATATTTTTTATTTTCATTACATTTTTGGACAGCACTAAATCCAAAAAAGATAAAAAAAAACCGAAAGTTCGCTATGCAATAAATCAAAAGGCAACGCAACAACAGCAACAATATGCAGAACCTATAAACATTTAACACATAACATATATATATATTTATTAATGTTAAAATAAACTACCATTTTTGCTCTAATTGTTTAAAATAGCCAACCAGCAACAACAGTTAAATATTGAAATGTAGCCTAAAATCCAAAATGCTCAAAATAATCCTTTTAGCTTCGAAAGTCAAATAATAGCCAACCGTAAAAATGTTAAACAAATCATTAAATGCTTAAAAACAACAACAAAAGTGTGAACTCTTTATGAACCTGAGAAATATTTAACTAATTTGGGTAAAAAAAATTGCAAAATAAGATTTATTAGTTTTGGGAATATATTAGCCTTTTAAATTGGTTAAAAAAATAAGTAAGAAGAAAATTTAATCAATATAGAATAATGCATATTTCAATTGTGATTAAATTTGATTGCTTTCCCAAAATTTTAAAAGTATTTCTTTTTAAGCTTGACATACACAATATTAAATTAAATTCGGTCGGGTTTTACTCACATATTCTGCAAGCTTTCAATAATTTTCTAAACTTAATTTTTTTAATTGTGCATTTATTTTCGATTTAAGCAAAACATTAGGAGTGCTATATAGTAAAACCCTATGGAGCTGTCAAATCTTTAATGAAATTTCTAATTAATGCGCCAGTGTCATAATACTGTTACCAAATCTGGCTAGTTTATAGCCAAATTTAAGAGAATTGCCTTGGCAGTGTGACCAGGTTTACTGGTTGACGTTTGCTTGCCTTTGTTGTTTTGTTTGGATTTTTAAGTCATTGTTTTGACAGCCCCACTACAAGTGACTAGGCATCATTTTGGCATAAAAAAAACAGCGTCAAACTTTAAAATCTCCTTGAATTAATCTAAAAACATACAAAATGTCTGGACCGGAGAAAGAAAAGGAGAAGGAGAAGGAGGAGACCAACAACAAAAGCGAGGACCTTGGTCTCCTGGAAGAGGACGACGAGTTTGAAGAGTTTCCCGCTGAAGGTGAGCATTGCTTTTTGATTGGCGAATCCCGGAGCTCACACAATCGGCATTTTTGTTGCAGATTTCAAAGTCGGGGACGATGAGGAGGAGCTGAATGTGTGGGAGGACAACTGGGACGACGACAACGTGGAGGACGACTTCAGCCAGCAGCTGAAGGCGCATCTCGAGAACAAGAAGATGGAGACGTAGTAGTAACCCGGCGCCCCTCCGTTCAGTCCTAACCAATAAAAAACGAGCTGAGCTGTTTGCAGTTTTAGAATAAAATCGGTATATTTAGTGCTAACCTAATGCCACTTGCTGTTTTCCCCGAGTATGATTTCGAGATTCTCACACAAAATACCGCGCAGTTCTTCCTGTTTTTCGATTTGCTCGGCCAGAGCCTCATTTTCGTTCTGCAGTTCTGTCACCGCTTTACCCCGGCCTTCGATATCGGTTTCCCGCTGTTCGATGTGTTCCTGGGCCTCTTTGGATTCCGTCTTGTGTTTTTCCCTTAGTTGCTGAATCTGCTGCTTTTCGTCGAGGAGCAGCTTCTTCCCTGCCTCAGCCTCCTTGAGGGCCTTTTGATTTCGAGCCTCCAGGGCGGGTAACTGCTTGCGCAATACCTCCAGTTGCTTGGTGTTCTTCTTGTAGTCTTCCAACTGGGATAATGTCAGCAAGGGAGTTGCCTTTTCCAGGGCCACGACGATCTGCTGGCTGTCCTCGATCAAGCTGCGTTGGCTATCGATTATCTGCTCAGTGCTGGCCAGCTCCTTTTTGCAACTCTCGACGTGTAATATCGTGCTCTGGATTTGCCTACCGATCAATGGAATGGTAAATAAGATATTGAGCCATTTTTTCTTGGAATCACTCACTTCTTTAGTTCCAGAACTTGGTTTTCCTCCACCACCAGCTGCTCCCAGTGCTTGATGCGCTTGTTCAGTTCATTCTCCTGCTGCTCATAGTGTTCCAAGCCATTTTCCTGCTCGCTGGTGCTTTTCTTTTGCCGGGCAAGCTTCGTCTTGGTCTCGTGCAGTTCCGCCTTCAACTTGTTGATCTCGAGCTTGCAAGCTTCCATGTCCGCTGTTATGGTGGCTACAGTCTTTTTATGCTGCTCCAACTCCCTCTGCTTGACTTTGATCTCGGCCAACAATGTGTCCCGGGCCTTGATACCCTGCTCAACGGGTCCCAGGACATCCTTTTTGAACAGATTGTAGTAGGCAAGAAAGTTGAACAGGTAGTCTAAGGTGCTTAGCGTCTTTCTGGTGGCTAACAATTACAATGGGTTTATAAAAGGTTTCAAAAGTTGGCTTCAAAAAGAATAAGATCGCTATGGCTAATTGCAAACCTGGCTTGATCAAGTCCATGTAGAGGTACGTCTTGTTGGGAAATGACAATTTCACGATGCTCTCTATTTGGCGGCACAGGTGGATGAGGAAGACCCGCGTCTCCCGCGACTGGTCAATAGTCTCGCTGCCCAGCTTAAACGGTGGCTCCACTCGAAAACCGAAGCATCGCAGATAGTGAACAAAGATCTTGGTGAGACATCCCACAGTGGGTTTGACCAAATCGCTATGGCTGATGATCAGGTCGGGTATCAATCGGGTGCTCTGCGACAATATGAGGTTGATATCCGAATCCAACGCCATTGTATCGAATTTAATTGATTTAAGTTTCCTCAGTTTTGAAAATGGATGCCTAAAATTCAATAGCTTGGCTGAGTGTGACCAGAGGGGCATGTCCCGTATAATCCTGAGACTCATAATTTCTATGCCCTTTCCAACACTTAATTTATCGGTTAAATATTTAAAATTTGTAAACGTTAAGAAAGTGTTTTAGCATTAAATAAGATTAAATGGAAACTAATTTAATATAATTTAATAAAAATTATATACATTGTAGTTCTTAATAATACAATTTGTTTAAGTGCCCAGAGCGCGGTTTGAGCCAACGTTGCCATGGATTTGTTTGATTTCCTCAGTTTAATGTTTGCCTTTATCCCGTGAAAACTCAGCAAAATGGCTTCCTCCAGCGCCGTAGAAGATGAACACCTTACGGACTCTGACTTGACCGATGATGAGGGTAAAGAATTTACTCAAGTATTACCCAAAATAATCTTGAAATCAATAAATCCCAGAGCGCAGCGTTGAGCCGCGCCAGGAGGAGCTGCGTCCAGAGACTCCGAAGCCGTCCTACAGCGACGAGGAACTGCACCAGCTGGTGGGCTATATACAGCGCATGAGTGTCCTGAGTGGGCTGGATCACCGGGATTGGCACGAGGGTACCCTCGACATCATTCGTCGCTGGTTGCTGGAGGTGAATGAACCCCTGCTGACCGTATATTATGATCAGGATGTATTGTCCGCTTGCCTGGGCATCCCTTCCGTCTGCGTCTCGGATTCAAGCTACTTTCGGCGGGAGCTGAACGAGATTTTCAGTGTGGAGTGTTTCCATGACGAGGTCAATTTTGGCACCCTGACCAGCGATGTGGATGGCTGCATGATGGGGTTATTGGAACGCCTATACGTTCCCTTTTTTCGGAACTATCGGGATTGGAATGCAACGGTGCGGAATCGATTCTGCTCTAGTCTGGATAGATTCCTGGCATTCCTAACGGGAACGCATCATCAGATCTCGGGAGTGGCTGTGTTGTATGTGCCCTATGTGATCAAGGAACTGGGTGCAGGACCCGTGGAGAGGCAGCTGGTGATGAGTCTGGAGGGTATTGCCTTGTACTGGACCACTCAGATTCGTACTTTGCTAGAGGATCGTACCCTGATGGTTCCTCATGATCTAGCCACTGTGCGGGATGAGTTTGAGTTCTGGGAATATCGATGTAAGTTCAAGTATATTTCCTAAAATAGCTGTGCCACGATTTAGATATTTTTCCAGATGAAGTTCTTCAGGGAATCAATGACCAACTGGCTCAATCGGATGTCCAGAAAGTATTAAAGGTTCTCCATCATGCCCATTCCGTTCACATGCCCCAAATGGATCAGCTAATCGAACGGGCCAAACAGGAGCTGCTTCAGTCCCTGTCCAACATTAAGTACCTTCATCTGCTGATTGGGCCCTGCTCCAAAATCGATTTGGCTCCAAGTCCTGATGATTTGCCCAAGCTCTTACCCCGGATTATCCACCTGATACGTTTTATTTGGTTAAATTCGGAATACTACAATACCCCGGAGCTTATAGCGGGACTATTTCGGAATTTGAGTAATCAAATCATAAGGTAATTGGGTAACTTATCATAATTTAAAGTGACTTTCTACTATTCTCAACAGATTTTGCACCGAACAAACCAAAGTTGAGGAGATTCTAGCGGGCAAGTCCCGCTTTGGCATTAAAATGTGCAACATGGCCATCGATAGCTGTCAGGTTTACAAGGGAATCTATGGGGCAATGTCCAAAGGATGTGAGCCCGCTTGGGTGTTGGATGAGGGTATAATTTTCAACCATATAGATGCCTTTGTGGAGCGCCTAAATGATGTGATTGACATTTGTGAATCGATGATTGTGTTTGGCCGTTTGGATGAAAATGGGAGCATACCCCAGCCCGCTTTTGGCGGCACTTGTGGCGAGGAGATGGAGCAGATATCCGAAAATGTGGAGCAACAGTTTCTCACCACTTTAAAGCAACTGCAGAGTAGCTCTCAAGCATACATCTTGAATGTGCATCGCTCGGATTGGTACGAGCAGGTTGCCAGCTTTCGCAGAAGCATGCAAAAGCTAGAGGAGACTGTCCAGCGTCTGATCTTCAATGTTTTCCAACATGTGTCTAATGTGGAAGAGACCCTGGAGGCTCTGCAATCCATGCTCTTCTACTCCTACCGCCAAAGGGGCACTCTTAGGAAAACCTATTTGCGACACGTGAGCAAGTTGTGGAGGATGTTCTCCCAGGAAATGGATTCCACATCGAGAAAACTGCTGGAGGAGCGACGACAAGAGTCGTGGCTACCCAAGTACGCATCCAGGTCCCTGAACTATCGCATTAATTTGGAACGCTTGACCTGGTTAAGGGATCGCCTCAAGAGCGCCGAGTGGCTGCCACCGGTTAAGGAGTCCTCTCCAGCTTTGGCCAAATTCGATTCACTGCGCCATGAGTTTGACAAGGCAACGCGACAGGCTTACGAGGATTGGGTGGCCAAGAGTTGCGGTTGGTCCAGCGATCTCTTCCAGCGTTTGGATCGCTACCTGATAGTGCGAAGTAAGAAACCCAAGGGTTTGCTTGAGTGCAATATAGATATGTCTGTCCTGGAGCTGTGCGAGCAGGCTCAGCACTTTGAAAAGCTAGGTTTTGCCATTCCCAAGACCCTGACGAAGCTCTACGAAAGGCACGATATAACCAGATCCCTGTTCAATCGCGTAATCCAACTTTGCCTTAGTCACAATCGCATTTTGACCGTCTTAACAGAGAGAGAAAGGAAACTATTCCGACCACTGATCCAAGCCTGCGATCGCCAGCTGGCCCCTGGCATATTCAAGATTACCTATGGCTCTGATCTCAGCGAGGACTTCTTCGAGGATGGTAACGAGTTCCTGGATAAATTCCAGGAAATTGTTCACATTTTTAAGCGGGCCAATCGAGGGATGGCCAGGAGCTGTGAGAAGATCTGTGACACTTGTCTGCTCCACTTTGCCTTTGTTGGGGCCGTTGATATAACCGTGTTCCAAAAGCAGTTGTCCAGCAAGCTGAGCTCATCTGGTGACATCCTGAGGAGATACTATAGCAACATAGTGGAGCTTCTGTGTGCCTTCAGTAGGCAGTTTCAATCGGTGGAGGATGAGGTAGGTTGGCCAGCTTTCTACTTCTCGAGCTTACAATGTATTATTTCTTAGATATCACAGGAGTGGATAGCCTATGTAAATGATCTGGATGACATGCTGGCCAGTTCTCTAATGACCAGTGCTCGCGGTTCCTTGACCAAGCTCTACGAAGCTTTACATTGCGACGAGGATATGGCACCAGTTCCCATAATAGTCCTCGAATCGGATGTTAAGGATGGCTGCATCACCTTTACTCCCCACATGGATGCCATCGGGGAGATGATGAATGGAATCATTGACAGCATTCGCAGCATGTTGGATCAGTTCCCCCGATTGGGCTATAAATTAAAGCTACCCAAGGAGAAGCAGCGTCAGGGATTTGCTGCTGTATTTCGCGAGGATCAGGAATGTTCGGAATTAATGAGAAGCATTCAAGCGGAGATCGTCAGGCAGCGGGCGGAAATGACTAAGTATGAGGAGCACTGGAACAAACATCGTGTTCTTTGGGAGACCACCGAGGAGGGGTTCCGACAGCGTCTGTTGTCAAGTTCCCGCACAGCGGGAGTCTTTGAGGGTGGCATCGAGCACTATAGTGCTCTGGCGGATGATGTATCCTTTGAGGATGCCATTACGAATGTATACTTTGTGCTGGTCAATCAGAATGCTCTAAAGAGCACCATCCTGGATTGGATTGAAAAGTGGCAGGCGCTCAATATTAAAATGCTGCTGGATCAAGCTAGCAATTGGATGAGAGGTGGGTTGTCCTGTATCCTGTTTGGTGTTATCCTTAGTGTCTTTATTTTGTAGCCACCTACATTTATATGAGACGCAATGAGAGGAATGTAATGAAGGTTCCTCGAACTCTTCGGGAGACAGCGGCTGCCAAACAATTGCTCGAAAAACTCTTTAAGGAAGTTCCTTTATGGCAAATCGGCTTTACTCCTATGCTGGAACTCTTTGTGCTCCTCCACAAATACAGGGTGCAGCTGACGGAGAAGACTCACCAGCAGGTGATTGGTTTAGAGTCATCATGGCTGCATTATCTTCAAATCTTGGGCGAAGCTGATGAAATGCTGGACAATGAGGCGAGTGAAATCCATGTGGAATTGGCTAAACATGGGGAAAATTTCAAGTTGATATTGAAAGAGTTTCTTGAAGATTTTTTCTCTAAATTACCCAAGAAATAAAAATATATATTTTTATCAATAATAAAACAAATTAAATTTTTGAAATCCCAACCTCTCACTTGTGTTTGCTTTAAGCTCGTTTTTATCCCATTCCACTTAGAAAATGCAAATTAGATATGTAATTCCACACGACTGCGCCCGTTTTTTTCTGCTCATTTTTCATTAGAAAGGAAAAGCTGTTAAAGTAAAAAACCGCAAATAGGCTTAAATCCCAGTGTAATTAAGTTGGGTGGTTCATTGGGCATTGATATGCGGTTTGGGGTAATTAATCGCTGTGCTCCAACGCCTCTGTGGGTGTCAATTGTGGTGAGAAATCGGATATAGGAAATACGGATTTAGTATCCTAATCATAAGTGAGTATTTTTCCCACGATGATATTATTTTAAAAGAAAGAAATATATATATTTAAATAGTTACTTTTCTTCTACTTTTACTCATTTTTATCTACTTGTGATGTCATAACTTTTTACCTCTGTGTCCACTGACGTCACTATCTTTTTCTTGATTTTGTTGGGTAACAAAATGTGTTGCTTATTGTCAATAAGATATCATTTTGATTGATTGTTTGTACGGGTCGCCCTGCTAATTACCTGCTAATGTGAATTTGAATTGTGAACTTCAGTCATGAAACGATCGCCGGCCAGTTTGTGGTCACTTTTGTGGCTCTTTAGCGCCGCTTCATTCCCTTTGGTAGAGTCCCATCACATTTTGGGTCTCTTTGTCAACGTCCATCGGTCGCAGTTAATGGTCCATCTGGCAGTTTGTCAAGCTCTGATCCAGAAGGGCCACCAGTTGACTTTGGTAACCACTTTGCCACTGGACGATCATGATATACGGGGGAATGTGACACATATTTTAATACCCTGGGAGCAGCCGAGAGAAGACTCAGATCACCACACTCCCTCGGACTTCTTTCTCCGTCTGGAAAGAATGTTTAATCGTCTGGAGAAATCTGGTGACTTTCTGAATCTGCCCGAATGGAAAGTCTTTCTGCAAGGAGCTCCTAATCCTCATTTTGATCTCATGCTTTTGGGTTATCACTTCAACGATTATCTGCTGGGAGTGGCGGCTCATTTCAAGTGTCCCGTGGCCATAATATCCACCCAACAGCCCACAGGATTCGTGAACAGTCTCATGGGCAACCCCGAGGAGCGTTGGTATGTCCCACAGCCCTATGACAGTCAGCAGAGGAGTGGAATATCAGCTTGGATCTTTGGAATTTGGGAGAAACTTATGGAAATAATGGCTAGGAGGGTGATGCAGAAGATATACAGGTATTACTTACTTAATTTTTTATAAAAATATATTTAAAATACATTTAATACATTTTAGTTTGCACTTTCCCGAACCACAATATCCCGGCTTTGAAACCATGCGCCGCTCGGTTGCCTTGACCTTAAGTAATCATCATGCCATCAGCGAAGGACCCATAGCTCCTGTATTACCAAATATGGTGGACATTGGAGGTATACTCTTAGAGCAAAATATAAAAGAAAACTCCCAGGAAATATCAGCTATAAATAGATCTATAATCGTGTTCAGTCTGGGCACTCGCTTTACTTGGCAAAAGTCCCCACATAGTTTGATATCTACTTTCACAAAAGCCTTCTCCCAATTTCCCAACTACGATATTTACTGGACTTACGATGGAGCAAATCAGAGTATTATTAGTGTGGATTATCCTCATATAAAAATTTCCAAGTGGTGGCCACAATGTGAGCTCTTAGCAAGTGGAAAAGTTCGATTGTTCATCACTCACGGGGGCAAGGGCAGTGTCTCGGAGGCCCTGTACTATGGAGTTCCCATGCTTGGACTACCCCTGCTGGGCGATCAGCGAGCCAATCTCCAGAGGATGCAGGCCAAAAAGTGGGGCTTGACATTGTCCACTCACAATTTGACCCACAATGAGCTGCACAAGGCCATGGCTAGAATACTAGGTGGATCAGAATATACCAAAGCTATATCGAAGGCCTCCCAACTATATCGCGATCGTCCCATGAACTCCAGTGACCTGGCCACCTTTTGGCTGGAGTACATCATTCGCCATGACGGTGCTAGGAACTTGTACAGCCCGTCGAGGCAACTAACCTGGATCGAAAATCTATCCATCGATGTTTATGTTACTATCTATGGGGGCTTGATTTTGATTGTAATTGTTCTCAGAAAAATGAACAGCTTGCTGTGACTAGAAGTATCGTTTAATTGTATACAAATATATATATAACATAAAGTAGCTTAAGAGATGAACTTAATCGACGTTTACTTAAGTACACTCGAATGTTGTTGGTTGACAATACTTCTTCTTCATGGGATTCGAATCATTTCTGGGCTGGTTTCACTGGCATCTCGCATCCAAGAGAATATATTTAAATAGTAAATGCTGTATAATTAGTATTTCTTTTTTTAATTATAAATAATCTGCACAGGACTGACGGATGACGACGGATCATTAGATTAAGGCAATCTTTCCATATTATGGCTCTTAAAACTAACGACTTAACATATTGGAAGTGTTCCACTAGATGTATTTTATTGAAGCTGTTCTCTAAGATCCTTCCCACTGCTATGGATTTTGTATGGCTTTAAATTTTAAATAGTAGTAGTAAGTAGCGTAAGTAGTGGTAGTGTATAAGTAGTTTTTAGTTTATGCACAGTTCTGGGGTTCTGGGGGATTTTGGTTTAGCTCTTGCCATGCAGGCGCCTTGACTGGAAATGTCCTGGCTGATAATAGCTCAGATTGGGGTTCGAATTGGGATTCCTATACTGATTCTGATTTTGATTCTGATAGCCCGGACGGGGACAGCGTCCATTTTTCATATCGTAAGGGCCGTAATTGCAGAACGGCGGACTGCTGTCACCGCTTTGAATGCGGCTGAAAAGAAAGATTTGATAATCATTAAAATAAAAAAAAAACATAAGATTTAACTTAGCTGAACAATTAATTTGCATAATTAATCAATTATTCAAAATATTTAATTAATTATTCAAATGAAAACTCACCGTCTTTCCATCACGGAGAATCCCTCCTCGCCGTTCTTTAGCCGCTTGCAGGTATCATCACTGAGATGGCAGTCGCATCGGCAACGCTGCTCTGCCTGCTGCTTTTGCTGCTCCTCCTCCTCCTCCAACTGACTTACCGGCCAGCTAAAGTCGATAAAGTGCTTGGGACATCGGCAGGCTGTGCTCCGTTTGCGCCGTATCTCCACCTTCACGCAGCCGCATTCGGTGTGGTTCAGCATTGGGACAATACGGGCCATTGACTTGTTGTTGACGTGAACGGAGAACACCAGGTTCACGGTCTCGTTCCGCTTCATCTTGCAGGTGAATCCCGGATCACAGCATCCGACGGTGTCACTGCACTGATGCAGGATTGTGGCACGCGGGGAGTAGACCGTATTTGTCTCCTTGGTCATGTAGATCACCTGCGGCTTTGGCACACGACAACGGCCCTCACGTTGCACAAAGGCTCGGTGTTCCCTTGCCATTTGATTGAGTTCCTGTAGATCTGTTGAACATACAGGACAATGGGTTAGTTTTTAAATGAAATAAGAAATAAGAGAGGTTTAAAAGATCCTAGGGAGATTAAAAAGTGCAAATAACTATAAGTAGCTTATGATTTTCACCCTAAATCGTTGAAAAATAAAAAAAATCGTTGGTTAAAAATAAAAAATATTGATATTGGTTGGAAAAATATTAAAAAAAAAAGGAAACCGTAGATTAAAAGACTCTAAAAATATTTCCCAACTGTAAAGAATATATGTATATTTTTCGAGTCAAGGCATTATTTGTCTCTTAAGCTTAGAACAGAGAATGCAACTCTATTAAGTATAAATATTTTTTACAATTAAAACCCGCAGTGGATATGACTATAAAATTTAAATTCCTGAAAGCATAACACAAATTATTAAAACTCCCAAACTCCCATAACTTTTAAGCTTTGTCGCTTAAATCGAAATCCTTTGTAAAAATATTTGCACTTAAATATTTTATGTGGCTTAAATTTTTACTGGCTGTTCGAAATAATCCCCTTGAATGTGGCTATTTTAATAAGTTTGCTGTTAAATTATAACCAAACTGTGCTCAAATGTGTGTCATTGGCGCAACCGGTTACCAGGTTCATTACTTAATAGCCTACTAAAGTTCAGTAAACTCCTGGATACAGCAGCATTTTCAATGCCTTTCGGTAGCGATTTTTCGATTCGATCGCCCACTGAGTGGCTTTCTGCCATGCCAGCAGCGGCTTAAGATCATTTGTGCGATGTTCCTTATTTTTCTTCTTGGTTTTTTATATTGATCGTCGGCTGGAGATTGCACCTTTATGGCCTTTGGCGGACTTAAGTTTACCGTTGTTTGCCTTTTGTCGCGAGTCGCGACTTGCGACTATAAAAAGCGCTCAGAGAGAAGATCTTTGCATGCGGAATTAATTTTCTTCTCGTTCGTCTGCCGGTCGTAAAGTGGCAGGAGGCACAATGAGATCAGGGAGGAGCAGGAGAAGGTGGAAGCCGGCGGGCAAAGACCTCCCAATGTGCTGTTAACCGAGCTAATCTTAGGTCCTAGGCATTGGTCCTAGTTCTGGGTCTCATTCACCCACCAACTTCGCTAAGAATCTCAAAGGGAGATACATCTGTTGGATCCATATGTAATTTTCATAAACGCTTCATGATTGAATCATCAACTTAACGAGCGCCCAGGAAGGAGGTGGTTTGTGGAGTGTGCACTTTGGCACAGAGAAAAATAAGTGTGTGTTTATTTTTAATATAATTTTTTAGGGATATTTAAATATACAAATATGTAACTAATAAATAATTAAGATCTTCAACAGACTATTGAATTATTAAAATACAATTAAATAACATTTAATTAGTTATATATTTTAAACTCCTAATAAGGTGAAATCCCCTTTGTATTTCATATACTTAGTTCTTTATTTATATATCCTTATTATTTCCCAATTTCCCTAGGTGTATTTCAGGTAGCTATTGTAGCTATAGTTCCTGGTGGTAGAGACCGAAGGAGATGATGTTTCGACTGCCTCAGAACATGTGGAGCGGCTGCTTCAGCCGCAGCAGCCACATGAATAATTCAAGGGGCTCTAGCTCAACAAGCTCCATGGACTGAGGATAGAGAACACAAGAGCCAGGGAAGGAATGCGGTGAGGTGGAAAAACAGGGAGGAAAGGGGGCTTCCGGGGAGGTGAAAATTGCAGTTGTGTTGATGGCCAAGTTGAGGAAAGCCTTTGAACTTGACAGATTTGCCCATGAAAATGTGGGGCAATACTCGGGCCTCCACAGGATGATGATGAGGTGAGAGGCTTGGCTTGGCCCTTTTTTCACAAATTGGCATAGTTTACTCAAGGCCAGTCGTTGAGTTTGGCCAATGAAGCCATCTCGAAGTGAAACCAATTGTTATCCATAAAATCAACTTAATCAAAAAACTACTGAATAAAAACTATATTATGTTAAACAAGAAAGGAAGATAACTTCGGCGCGCCGAAGTTTGTATACCCTTGCAGATTGGTTTTCATATTTATATTATAAAATATAATGCCGAAAACAGACACTAAACGGAGTTTCATAACATTTTACCTATACTTAATATGTTTACAGTTTGACAGTTACAGTTATACATCTCCAGCTTTACATTTTCTCTACATCTACGGATCACTTATATGGCAGCTATATGATATAGTTGTCCGATTTTCAAATTATTGTTACCAAAATTCTGAAATAATACTAAAAGCTCATGTCTCAAAGTAGATGAAAATACGTTGAAAAACAACGAAGTTATAATTTTTTCTTTTTCTTTTCCTATCGTTCCTATGGCAGCTATAAGATATAGTGGTCCGATTTTCATAAAATGTATACCAAAATTCTGAAATAATACCAGAAGCTCATGTCTCAAAGTAGATTAAAATACGTAGAAAAACAACGAAGTTATAATTTTTTTCGATTAATTTTCCGATCGTTCCTATGGCAGCTATAAGATATAGTGGTCCGATTTTTATAAAATTTTTACCAAAATTCTGGAATAATATAAAATGGCTATATCTCAAAAATGATGCAATAATATTGAAAAACTGCCAAGTTATAATTTTTTTTCTAAAAATGTATCGAACATTTGTATGGCAGCTATATGATATAGTCGTCCGATCCGGCCCGTTCCGACATATATAGCAGTGAGAGTATATAGAAGACTATATGCAAAGTTTCATTCAGATAGCTTTAAAACTGAGGGACTAGTTTGCGTAGAAACGGACAGACGGACAGACGGACAGACGGACAGACGGACATGGCTAGATCGACTCGGCTGTTGATGCTGATCAAGAATATATATACTTTATAGGGTCGGAAACGTCTCCTTCACTGCGTTGCAAACTTCTGACTGAAATTATAATACCCTGCAAGGGTATAAAAAGAAACATAAACAGTTTAAATAATCAAAAATACTATAAAACTGAAATATATAAAAGCAGTTTTATATATTTTTTTCCAACTAATTGATCAATATTTGCCTTTCCGCTTAATCTGCAAATACTCGTAAACAAGATCATGAAAATGTCACGCCTTCAGGGAAATTAAACAAAATGAGCAACCGAAATCGGCAATCACAAGTCAAACAACCGTCGACGATGTGCAAATATTCGATGGCGGTAAATAAATAAACTTAACTGCCAAGGAAGCCACTGGACAACTAAAATCAACAAAACAGCAAAAAAAACAACAGCCACTGGAATGGAAAAATCGAATGAGATAAGAAAATTGTTGCATCATTATGCATTTATGTACTGGCTACATTTCATTGACAATTTCCCAGGCTTAGTGACACACTTTCATTTGGCTTTTGCGGCTGTTGTCCACACGCTCTTTACGGTTTTCCCCAAAAACAATTTTCGCGCCCATTAAGCGACAGCAATTTTCCACTCAAATGCAAACGAGACAGAAAGAAAGACGCAGTGGAAAAGGGGGAAAAATAGAAGAAAAAAAAGATATTGAGATAGAGCGAGCTCACATTTCATTGTCAGGGGTCTGGGTTAAGCCAATGTTTGTCTCCTAATTGTAATTGTTGTTACACGCAGAGAAAGGCACTATGAAAAAGTATATATAAATATGCAAAACAAATATTTACTTAATATATTAATTTTGTAATATTTTATATTTATTTATAAGTAAGCTATTTAAGTGTTTTTAAAACTATTGACTATTGAAATAGATTTTAATACAATTTCCAAGTTCCTTGCTTGCTTTTTTTAGAACATTTTCTTTTTTCTTTTGGTTATAGTTCATATCTAACATTTTAGATTTTTAATAACTAAATTTCAGAAAGGAAATAAGGAAATCTTAAAATAAGCTCAACTTTTCCCAATGTACCCATGTTGTTTGTTGACTTTTTCAAGCCTCCTAGCTCTAAGCTTGTAATGAAATAATTGGAAAGATCTTTGCAAGTCTCAAATTCCCGCTTGCCAAAAAATAAAAAAAATATCTGCCACCAAAACTACTTAAATTAAGAGAGGCGAGGAGTCTGTGTTTGTTTGTTTAACAAGACAACTCTTCTTTTAATTGCAATGAAAACGCAGATGCATCACCCCAGAGACCCAAAAGAGACAAAATACAAAAAAAAAGGGGAAAAAAACTCGGTGGGAAAACATCTTGGTATGTAATTTGCCAACTCCTTCTTAAGGCGAAATTTTCACTCACTAACTTTTTCCACAGTTAGAAAGTAAAGTGCGTAAGTTAAACTCATGCCAGACTTTTCAGCAATCTTGTTTGTTGACGTTTGTGCTCTGGTTTTCCATCATTCACAAGAAGTCACGTGCCAAAGGATAAAACAGTCATTTTCATTTCCATTGTCATAAATAACAGGAAAAACAACTGGGATTGCCAGGGACTATATCTAGGAAGATACTACAGTTGAGGTCAATCAATTAAAATAATTCAAGGTAAGGTATATATATTAAGGAGGCTAGCGTTTTTTGATCTAAATTTTTAAAAATTAACCAAATTATATGTTAATATAAGCAAATTCTTAACTATATAAATACGTGTATGCAAAAATAATATATGTATCTTTAAAGTCAAAAACCTAGCTTTAAAACAAACTATAAAATATTTAGTCGTCTTTAAAAATCCATAGAAAATAAACTTTATTTTTATTTTGGAATCCCTAACCTATTGACTGCCACTGTGCTCCTTGCCCTTCCTTCTCAACATCAAAGGCCATTTGGTGGCGTTTTGTTTGGCTTGTTTTTGCCCTTTCGCATAGAGCATTGCACATTTGCTTAGCACATTTTTTATGGCCAGAACGTGATGATCATGGGCGGGCGCCTCGGACATCTATTTGAGGCACAATTACCGGGGGACCAGACCGGAGGACGGGGCAGGGACATCTTTAATGGCCCCAATGAACCCAGGAGGGACGGAGGGTTGGAAAAAAAGGGAAGATAAAGGCAGCAGCATACTCACTGGTGTGATATTTTCTGTACTCCAGGACGCCTTCTTGGGTTCCCACTTGCTGCAGTTTCCTGGCCGTCAGCTCGCCGGGTTGAGCCTGATCCGACTGATAGCCGTCGTCCTATGAAAAAGCCATGAAAAAGCACGAAAAAATACGTTGTTATTGAATACAGATATGTATGCATATTGGCAATACAGAAATGCCGCAGCATATGCGAAAATTCTGCTTATTTATGGTTAGAGTTGGCTTATTTTGTACTTATTTTTTCTGGTTGCACTGCGACCACGTAACTCTATTTCCCATTCACAAGCGCACAATTTTTTGCGGCTTTCATTATTATTGCACAATGTGCTGGAACTCCTCTCCACACATATTTTTTCAACCATAAAATATGATACATTTTTTATTGTATTTTTTTTGGGATCATAAAAATAGGTTTGCAAATAATATGGAGCAGCTAATAAATGGGATTGCGCAATGGCAAACTCTAAGAGAAATATTTTTATGAGGGCTTAAGTTTAAAAATGTTGCCAATAATTTATTGAAATTATTTATAATTTTTATAAACAAGTAAACTTGACATGATTGAGTGCATAATCATAAGTCACACTTTATGGTTTTTTATTTAATTTTATTATGAAATATTCGTTTGGCTTTAAAACAAAAAGAAATAATGTATCTCACGGTAGCACAAAAATTGATAAGCAGCTTTTGTTACTTTTTAAAAAAGCTTTTTAATGCTTTAATATTTACATGCCTTGATGAAGTATTTGAGAGCCCTTGTTTTCATTTAATAATTCCATATTCTTAAAGCTTTTCTTCGACACATAAATTAAAATAAATACATAATATAATATAATATGAATAAATTATAAAATCGAGACTCTTTATTAAAAAAACATAAGAATATATATTATAAAACCCCATATATTTTTATACAAACCCCCTTATTTTCCCTTGTTTTTAACACAACCTGCAGAATCATAAAATGTGATGATGTTTGCAAAGAACGTACAAAAAATTAAATTGAATTTATGCTTTTTGATTTATGCTGGCATGTGCTCACGCAGCAATTGTGATTTATTTAACAGATTTTTAACACGCTCCAAACAAAAGCCGCAGGAAAACGGAAAACAGAAATAACAAGTGCCCAGGAGTGCAGAGTGGGAAAACCTGCGTGCCACACCTGAGAGCACCTGAAAAGCTATCACTTACAGCTCAAAGAGCAAGAGCGTCGAGGAGGCGGCATTGGAAAACTTTTGCAATTTGCATTGCCATACACACGCACACACACATATCCAGACCCTAGTATCGATTTTCAACAAAAGGATGCACTTGCTTTTCCCACGTACTCAGCACCCACCCATCCCCTTTCACTTCCGAAAAGAACACCCGAATGTCATGAAAACTAACGACATGCATATAAGTGATACATAATGCGACAAGCAGTGGGGCCAACTGCCTTCTGGGGGTAATAAATGAAGTGTGCATGTAAGAAAAATGACACCAGCAGGAGCCATGGCCCAAGGATAACAGGGAAATGTGAGGAAAAACCAGGCCAGGATACAACTCCATTCGCAGCATTCCCAGCAGAGTCACCAAAGCGTTAAGTGAAATGGCCAGCGAAATGGTAGCGAATGGGTTTCAATTGAAGGGAGTTGGTAGATCGAATCTGGAAAATCGGAGGCCCAAGTCAGGGAGGCAAAAGAGCGAAGGATTTTACTATATGTTTTCTCTGTTGGAAAATAAGCCATCTCGGATGAGGAAAGGATATTTAATCTTAAGCTTAAATGAATTTTTAAATTCTTAAGAAGCTTAAGAAATAACATTTTAATATAAATACATTTGTAATCTATTTTTTAATTAAATGTATTAAAATTGTAAATAGTCTTGATTAGTAAAGTCTACTTAAAATAAATATTTAGATAATTTAATTTTAATAAATTATTTTCCCAGCTTTATAACATTTTTTTTGAAGGTTTTCTTATCTCTTGAATCTCTTGATTTTATTGCTATTCCTAAAAAACAGTTTTTTATATTTCCACCCTATAACTATTTCGTATTTCCATTTAATTCCTTTGTTTATCTTCTGAGTCATCATGATGGCCTGCATCCTCTATTATTTGATATGCTTTTAATGCCGCACATTTCGCTCGTTTTGCTTACAGCGATCGCTTTGCTTAGATGAATCAAAGTCAACCGAATCCGCTGCGGAATCTCTCCTCCTTCCTCGCTCTGTCTCTGCCCCGTCCAAAGGCCCCTTTCTCTCATCTTTTCTCATCTTATTGGAGGCAACACCTCGACCCTGTTTTATATATTCTTCTTTTTTTTTTTTTTTGTATAACCAGTTCTACTTAAGCTTCATTACGCATGCTCAGCCATGACACGGCCATTTCATCCAGGTTGGCAGTTGGCGACTCCCGCCGCTTCTCCTGGGGCTCTCCGCCACTGCCCCCTGGAATTACCATCAATCTGCAGTGCCAATCCCAGGAGCAGGAACCGGAGCTACATGGCGGCATGGCAAGAAAATCTATGTAAATTCTGGGGACTATTTTAAGAGGGAAATTTGCTTGCTATATTTAATTTATTATTTATAAGCAAAATATATTCTTTAGTTCAAAGTTTCTATTTTTTAAATTATTGCATTTGGCAACAAGTTGGCCATATAATTCTCAACTAGTTCTAGCATTGCACTGCAACTTTATGAAATTTTTAAACTTCTTGCCCGCAGAGACCTTTTGATTCTTTGGGATATATTTCCTTAAAATCACTTAAAAACTATTTCCCTGATTTTAATATAAAATATATCAATAAATATATGACATTAAAAAATATTTCAAAAATATTTACAATTAGAATCCCTTGCAATTTCTCACCGTGAAAGAGAAGTTGGGGCAGGGACACATGAATGAACACAAAAAAACCATTAAGTGTCTGCCGGGTTGACAGTATTCGAAAACAGTTGGTGCTCTGTTAGGCCCCCCGACGCACCTCTCGTCCATTAAATAAAAAATATAAAAAAACAACAACAACAAGAGCAAACTTCATTTGCATTTGCCTGTTGTTCTGTTTGGAGCGTTTGAAGGATGCTTTGGACGGAGGAGCAGTTTCTTTATTATGGAAATAATGGCTAGGAGGGTGATGCAGAAGATATACAGGTATTACTTACTTAATTTTTTATAAAAATATATTTAAAATACATTTAATACATTTTAGTTTGCACTTTCCCGAACCACAATATCCCGGCTTTGAAACCATGCGCCGCTCGGTTGCCTTGACCTTAAGTAATCATCATGCCATCAGCGAAGGACCCATAGCTCCTGTATTACCAAATATGGTGGACATTGGAGGTATACTCTTAGAGCAAAATATAAAAGAAAACTCCCAGGAAATATCAGCTATAAATAGATCTATAATCGTGTTCAGTCTGGGCACTCGCTTTACTTGGCAAAAGTCCCCACATAGTTTGATATCTACTTTCACAAAAGCCTTCTCCCAATTTCCCAACTACGATATTTACTGGACTTACGATGGAGCAAATCAGAGTATTATTAGTGTGGATTATCCTCATATAAAAATTTCCAAGTGGTGGCCACAATGTGAGCTCTTAGCAAGTGGAAAAGTTCGATTGTTCATCACTCACGGGGGCAAGGGCAGTGTCTCGGAGGCCCTGTACTATGGAGTTCCCATGCTTGGACTACCCCTGCTGGGCGATCAGCGAGCCAATCTCCAGAGGATGCAGGCCAAAAAGTGGGGCTTGACATTGTCCACTCACAATTTGACCCACAATGAGCTGCACAAGGCCATGGCTAGAATACTAGGTGGATCAGAATATACCAAAGCTATATCGAAGGCCTCCCAACTATATCGCGATCGTCCCATGAACTCCAGTGACCTGGCCACCTTTTGGCTGGAGTACATCATTCGCCATGACGGTGCTAGGAACTTGTACAGCCCGTCGAGGCAACTAACCTGGATCGAAAATCTATCCATCGATGTTTATGTTACTATCTATGGGGGCTTGATTTTGATTGTAATTGTTCTCAGAAAAATGAACAGCTTGCTGTGACTAGAAGTATCGTTTAATTGTATACAAATATATATATAACATAAAGTAGCTTAAGAGATGAACTTAATCGACGTTTACTTAAGTACACTCGAATGTTGTTGGTTGACAATACTTCTTCTTCATGGGATTCGAATCATTTCTGGGCTGGTTTCACTGGCATCTCGCATCCAAGAGAATATATTTAAATAGTAAATGCTGTATAATTAGTATTTCTTTTTTTAATTATAAATAATCTGCACAGGACTGACGGATGACGACGGATCATTAGATTAAGGCAATCTTTCCATATTATGGCTCTTAAAACTAACGACTTAACATATTGGAAGTGTTCCACTAGATGTATTTTATTGAAGCTGTTCTCTAAGATCCTTCCCACTGCTATGGATTTTGTATGGCTTTAAATTTTAAATAGTAGTAGTAAGTAGCGTAAGTAGTGGTAGTGTATAAGTAGTTTTTAGTTTATGCACAGTTCTGGGGTTCTGGGGGATTTTGGTTTAGCTCTTGCCATGCAGGCGCCTTGACTGGAAATGTCCTGGCTGATAATAGCTCAGATTGGGGTTCGAATTGGGATTCCTATACTGATTCTGATTTTGATTCTGATAGCCCGGACGGGGACAGCGTCCATTTTTCATATCGTAAGGGCCGTAATTGCAGAACGGCGGACTGCTGTCACCGCTTTGAATGCGGCTGAAAAGAAAGATTTGATAATCATTAAAATAAAAAAAAAAAACATAAGATTTAACTTAGCTGAACAATTAATTTGCATAATTAATCAATTATTCAAAATATTTAATTAATTATTCAAATGAAAACTCACCGTCTTTCCATCACGGAGAATCCCTCCTCGCCGTTCTTTAGCCGCTTGCAGGTATCATCACTGAGATGGCAGTCGCATCGGCAACGCTGCTCTGCCTGCTGCTTTTGCTGCTCCTCCTCCTCCTCCAACTGACTTACCGGCCAGCTAAAGTCGATAAAGTGCTTGGGACATCGGCAGGCTGTGCTCCGTTTGCGCCGTATCTCCACCTTCACGCAGCCGCATTCGGTGTGGTTCAGCATTGGGACAATACGGGCCATTGACTTGTTGTTGACGTGAACGGAGAACACCAGGTTCACGGTCTCGTTCCGCTTCATCTTGCAGGTGAATCCCGGATCACAGCATCCGACGGTGTCACTGCACTGATGCAGGATTGTGGCACGCGGGGAGTAGACCGTATTTGTCTCCTTGGTCATGTAGATCACCTGCGGCTTTGGCACACGACAACGGCCCTCACGTTGCACAAAGGCTCGGTGTTCCCTTGCCATTTGATTGAGTTCCTGTAGATCTGTTGAACATACAGGACAATGGGTTAGTTTTTAAATGAAATAAGAAATAAGAGAGGTTTAAAAGATCCTAGGGAGATTAAAAAGTGCAAATAACTATAAGTAGCTTATGATTTTCACCCTAAATCGTTGAAAAATAAAAAAAATCGTTGGTTAAAAATAAAAAATATTGATATTGGTTGGAAAAATATTAAAAAAAAAGGAAACCGTAGATTAAAAGACTCTAAAAATATTTCCCAACTGTAAAGAATATATGTATATTTTTCGAGTCAAGGCATTATTTGTCTCTTAAGCTTAGAACAGAGAATGCAACTCTATTAAGTATAAATATTTTTTACAATTAAAACCCGCAGTGGATATGACTATAAAATTTAAATTCCTGAAAGCATAACACAAATTATTAAAACTCCCAAACTCCCATAACTTTTAAGCTTTGTCGCTTAAATCGAAATCCTTTGTAAAAATATTTGCACTTAAATATTTTATGTGGCTTAAATTTTTACTGGCTGTTCGAAATAATCCCCTTGAATGTGGCTATTTTAATAAGTTTGCTGTTAAATTATAACCAAACTGTGCTCAAATGTGTGTCATTGGCGCAACCGGTTACCAGGTTCATTACTTAATAGCCTACTAAAGTTCAGTAAACTCCTGGATACAGCAGCATTTTCAATGCCTTTCGGTAGCGATTTTTCGATTCGATCGCCCACTGAGTGGCTTTCTGCCATGCCAGCAGCGGCTTAAGATCATTTGTGCGATGTTCCTTATTTTTCTTCTTGGTTTTTTATATTGATCGTCGGCTGGAGATTGCACCTTTATGGCCTTTGGCGGACTTAAGTTTACCGTTGTTTGCCTTTTGTCGCGAGTCGCGACTTGCGACTATAAAAAGCGCTCAGAGAGAAGATCTTTGCATGCGGAATTAATTTTCTTCTCGTTCGTCTGCCGGTCGTAAAGTGGCAGGAGGCACAATGAGATCAGGGAGGAGCAGGAGAAGGTGGAAGCCGGCGGGCAAAGACCTCCCAATGTGCTGTTAACCGAGCTAATCTTAGGTCCTAGGCATTGGTCCTAGTTCTGGGTCTCATTCACCCACCAACTTCGCTAAGAATCTCAAAGGGAGATACATCTGTTGGATCCATATGTAATTTTCATAAACGCTTCATGATTGAATCATCAACTTAACGAGCGCCCAGGAAGGAGGTGGTTTGTGGAGTGTGCACTTTGGCACAGAGAAAAATAAGTGTGTGTTTATTTTTAATATAATTTTTTAGGGATATTTAAATATACAAATATGTAACTAATAAATAATTAAGATCTTCAACAGACTATTGAATTATTAAAATACAATTAAATAACATTTAATTAGTTATATATTTTAAACTCCTAATAAGGTGAAATCCCCTTTGTATTTCATATACTTAGTTCTTTATTTATATATCCTTATTATTTCCCAATTTCCCTAGGTGTATTTCAGGTAGCTATTGTAGCTATAGTTCCTGGTGGTAGAGACCGAAGGAGATGATGTTTCGACTGCCTCAGAACATGTGGAGCGGCTGCTTCAGCCGCAGCAGCCACATGAATAATTCAAGGGGCTCTAGCTCAACAAGCTCCATGGACTGAGGATAGAGAACACAAGAGCCAGGGAAGGAATGCGGTGAGGTGGAAAAACAGGGAGGAAAGGGGGCTTCCGGGGAGGTGAAAATTGCAGTTGTGTTGATGGCCAAGTTGAGGAAAGCCTTTGAACTTGACAGATTTGCCCATGAAAATGTGGGGCAATACTCGGGCCTCCACAGGATGATGATGAGGTGAGAGGCTTGGCTTGGCCCTTTTTTCACAAATTGGCATAGTTTACTCAAGGCCAGTCGTTGAGTTTGGCCAATGAAGCCATCTCGAAGTGAAACCAATTGTTATCCATAAAATCAACTTAATCAAAAAACTACTGAATAAAAACTATATTATGTTAAACAAGAAAGGAAGATAACTTCGGCGCGCCGAAGTTTGTATACCCTTGCAGATTGGTTTTCATATTTATATTATAAAATATAATGCCGAAAACAGACACTAAACGGAGTTTCATAACATTTTACCTATACTTAATATGTTTACAGTTTGACAGTTACAGTTATACATCTCCAGCTTTACATTTTCTCTACATCTACGGATCACTTATATGGCAGCTATATGATATAGTTGTCCGATTTTCAAATTATTGTTACCAAAATTCTGAAATAATACTAAAAGCTCATGTCTCAAAGTAGATGAAAATACGTTGAAAAACAACGAAGTTATAATTTTTTCTTTTTCTTTTCCTATCGTTCCTATGGCAGCTATAAGATATAGTGGTCCGATTTTCATAAAATGTATACCAAAATTCTGAAATAATACCAGAAGCTCATGTCTCAAAGTAGATTAAAATACGTAGAAAAACAACGAAGTTATAATTTTTTTCGATTAATTTTCCGATCGTTCCTATGGCAGCTATAAGATATAGTGGTCCGATTTTTATAAAATTTTTACCAAAATTCTGGAATAATATAAAATGGCTATATCTCAAAAATGATGCAATAATATTGAAAAACTGCCAAGTTATAATTTTTTTTCTAAAAATGTATCGAACATTTGTATGGCAGCTATATGATATAGTCGTCCGATCCGGCCCGTTCCGACATATATAGCAGTGAGAGTATATAGAAGACTATATGCAAAGTTTCATTCAGATAGCTTTAAAACTGAGGGACTAGTTTGCGTAGAAACGGACAGACGGACAGACGGACAGACGGACAGACGGACATGGCTAGATCGACTCGGCTGTTGATGCTGATCAAGAATATATATACTTTATAGGGTCGGAAACGTCTCCTTCACTGCGTTGCAAACTTCTGACTGAAATTATAATACCCTGCAAGGGTATAAAAAGAAACATAAACAGTTTAAATAATCAAAAATACTATAAAACTGAAATATATAAAAGCAGTTTTATATATTTTTTCCAACTAATTGATCAATATTTGCCTTTCCGCTTAATCTGCAAATACTCGTAAACAAGATCATGAAAATGTCACGCCTTCAGGGAAATTAAACAAAATGAGCAACCGAAATCGGCAATCACAAGTCAAACAACCGTCGACGATGTGCAAATATTCGATGGCGGTAAATAAATAAACTTAACTGCCAAGGAAGCCACTGGACAACTAAAATCAACAAAACAGCAAAAAAACAACAGCCACTGGAATGGAAAAATCGAATGAGATAAGAAAATTGTTGCATCATTATGCATTTATGTACTGGCTACATTTCATTGACAATTTCCCAGGCTTAGTGACACACTTTCATTTGGCTTTTGCGGCTGTTGTCCACACGCTCTTTACGGTTTTCCCCAAAAACAATTTTCGCGCCCATTAAGCGACAGCAATTTTCCACTCAAATGCAAACGAGACAGAAAGAAAGACGCAGTGGAAAAGGGGGAAAAATAGAAGAAAAAAAAGATATTGAGATAGAGCGAGCTCACATTTCATTGTCAGGGGTCTGGGTTAAGCCAATGTTTGTCTCCTAATTGTAATTGTTGTTACACGCAGAGAAAGGCACTATGAAAAAGTATATATAAATATGCAAAACAAATATTTACTTAATATATTAATTTTGTAATATTTTATATTTATTTATAAGTAAGCTATTTAAGTGTTTTTAAAACTATTGACTATTGAAATAGATTTTAATACAATTTCCAAGTTCCTTGCTTGCTTTTTTTAGAACATTTTCTTTTTTCTTTTGGTTATAGTTCATATCTAACATTTTAGATTTTTAATAACTAAATTTCAGAAAGGAAATAAGGAAATCTTAAAATAAGCTCAACTTTTCCCAATGTACCCATGTTGTTTGTTGACTTTTTCAAGCCTCCTAGCTCTAAGCTTGTAATGAAATAATTGGAAAGATCTTTGCAAGTCTCAAATTCCCGCTTGCCAAAAAATAAAAAAAATATCTGCCACCAAAACTACTTAAATTAAGAGAGGCGAGGAGTCTGTGTTTGTTTGTTTAACAAGACAACTCTTCTTTTAATTGCAATGAAAACGCAGATGCATCACCCCAGAGACCCAAAAGAGACAAAATACAAAAAAAAAGGGGAAAAAAACTCGGTGGGAAAACATCTTGGTATGTAATTTGCCAACTCCTTCTTAAGGCGAAATTTTCACTCACTAACTTTTTCCACAGTTAGAAAGTAAAGTGCGTAAGTTAAACTCATGCCAGACTTTTCAGCAATCTTGTTTGTTGACGTTTGTGCTCTGGTTTTCCATCATTCACAAGAAGTCACGTGCCAAAGGATAAAACAGTCATTTTCATTTCCATTGTCATAAATAACAGGAAAAACAACTGGGATTGCCAGGGACTATATCTAGGAAGATACTACAGTTGAGGTCAATCAATTAAAATAATTCAAGGTAAGGTATATATATTAAGGAGGCTAGCGTTTTTTGATCTAAATTTTTAAAAATTAACCAAATTATATGTTAATATAAGCAAATTCTTAACTATATAAATACGTGTATGCAAAAATAATATATGTATCTTTAAAGTCAAAAACCTAGCTTTAAAACAAACTATAAAATATTTAGTCGTCTTTAAAAATCCATAGAAAATAAACTTTATTTTTATTTTGGAATCCCTAACCTATTGACTGCCACTGTGCTCCTTGCCCTTCCTTCTCAACATCAAAGGCCATTTGGTGGCGTTTTGTTTGGCTTGTTTTTGCCCTTTCGCATAGAGCATTGCACATTTGCTTAGCACATTTTTTATGGCCAGAACGTGATGATCATGGGCGGGCGCCTCGGACATCTATTTGAGGCACAATTACCGGGGGACCAGACCGGAGGACGGGGCAGGGACATCTTTAATGGCCCCAATGAACCCAGGAGGGACGGAGGGTTGGAAAAAAAGGGAAGATAAAGGCAGCAGCATACTCACTGGTGTGATATTTTCTGTACTCCAGGACGCCTTCTTGGGTTCCCACTTGCTGCAGTTTCCTGGCCGTCAGCTCGCCGGGTTGAGCCTGATCCGACTGATAGCCGTCGTCCTATGAAAAAGCCATGAAAAAGCACGAAAAAATACGTTGTTATTGAATACAGATATGTATGCATATTGGCAATACAGAAATGCCGCAGCATATGCGAAAATTCTGCTTATTTATGGTTAGAGTTGGCTTATTTTGTACTTATTTTTTCTGGTTGCACTGCGACCACGTAACTCTATTTCCCATTCACAAGCGCACAATTTTTTGCGGCTTTCATTATTATTGCACAATGTGCTGGAACTCCTCTCCACACATATTTTTTCAACCATAAAATATGATACATTTTTTATTGTATTTTTTTTGGGATCATAAAAATAGGTTTGCAAATAATATGGAGCAGCTAATAAATGGGATTGCGCAATGGCAAACTCTAAGAGAAATATTTTTATGAGGGCTTAAGTTTAAAAATGTTGCCAATAATTTATTGAAATTATTTATAATTTTTATAAACAAGTAAACTTGACATGATTGAGTGCATAATCATAAGTCACACTTTATGGTTTTTTATTTAATTTTATTATGAAATATTCGTTTGGCTTTAAAACAAAAAGAAATAATGTATCTCACGGTAGCACAAAAATTGATAAGCAGCTTTTGTTACTTTTTAAAAAAGCTTTTTAATGCTTTAATATTTACATGCCTTGATGAAGTATTTGAGAGCCCTTGTTTTCATTTAATAATTCCATATTCTTAAAGCTTTTCTTCGACACATAAATTAAAATAAATACATAATATAATATAATATGAATAAATTATAAAATCGAGACTCTTTATTAAAAAAACATAAGAATATATATTATAAAACCCCATATATTTTTATACAAACCCCCTTATTTTCCCTTGTTTTTAACACAACCTGCAGAATCATAAAATGTGATGATGTTTGCAAAGAACGTACAAAAAATTAAATTGAATTTATGCTTTTTGATTTATGCTGGCATGTGCTCACGCAGCAATTGTGATTTATTTAACAGATTTTTAACACGCTCCAAACAAAAGCCGCAGGAAAACGGAAAACAGAAATAACAAGTGCCCAGGAGTGCAGAGTGGGAAAACCTGCGTGCCACACCTGAGAGCACCTGAAAAGCTATCACTTACAGCTCAAAGAGCAAGAGCGTCGAGGAGGCGGCATTGGAAAACTTTTGCAATTTGCATTGCCATACACACGCACACACACATATCCAGACCCTAGTATCGATTTTCAACAAAAGGATGCACTTGCTTTTCCCACGTACTCAGCACCCACCCATCCCCTTTCACTTCCGAAAAGAACACCCGAATGTCATGAAAACTAACGACATGCATATAAGTGATACATAATGCGACAAGCAGTGGGGCCAACTGCCTTCTGGGGGTAATAAATGAAGTGTGCATGTAAGAAAAATGACACCAGCAGGAGCCATGGCCCAAGGATAACAGGGAAATGTGAGGAAAAACCAGGCCAGGATACAACTCCATTCGCAGCATTCCCAGCAGAGTCACCAAAGCGTTAAGTGAAATGGCCAGCGAAATGGTAGCGAATGGGTTTCAATTGAAGGGAGTTGGTAGATCGAATCTGGAAAATCGGAGGCCCAAGTCAGGGAGGCAAAAGAGCGAAGGATTTTACTATATGTTTTCTCTGTTGGAAAATAAGCCATCTCGGATGAGGAAAGGATATTTAATCTTAAGCTTAAATGAATTTTTAAATTCTTAAGAAGCTTAAGAAATAACATTTTAATATAAATACATTTGTAATCTATTTTTTAATTAAATGTATTAAAATTGTAAATAGTCTTGATTAGTAAAGTCTACTTAAAATAAATATTTAGATAATTTAATTTTAATAAATTATTTTCCCAGCTTTATAACATTTTTTTTGAAGGTTTTCTTATCTCTTGAATCTCTTGATTTTATTGCTATTCCTAAAAAACAGTTTTTTATATTTCCACCCTATAACTATTTCGTATTTCCATTTAATTCCTTTGTTTATCTTCTGAGTCATCATGATGGCCTGCATCCTCTATTATTTGATATGCTTTTAATGCCGCACATTTCGCTCGTTTTGCTTACAGCGATCGCTTTGCTTAGATGAATCAAAGTCAACCGAATCCGCTGCGGAATCTCTCCTCCTTCCTCGCTCTGTCTCTGCCCCGTCCAAAGGCCCCTTTCTCTCATCTTTTCTCATCTTATTGGAGGCAACACCTCGACCCTGTTTTATATATTCTTCTTTTTTTTTTTTTTTATAACCAGTTCTACTTAAGCTTCATTACGCATGCTCAGCCATGACACGGCCATTTCATCCAGGTTGGCAGTTGGCGACTCCCGCCGCTTCTCCTGGGGCTCTCCGCCACTGCCCCCTGGAATTACCATCAATCTGCAGTGCCAATCCCAGGAGCAGGAACCGGAGCTACATGGCGGCATGGCAAGAAAATCTATGTAAATTCTGGGGACTATTTTAAGAGGGAAATTTGCTTGCTATATTTAATTTATTATTTATAAGCAAAATATATTCTTTAGTTCAAAGTTTCTATTTTTTAAATTATTGCATTTGGCAACAAGTTGGCCATATAATTCTCAACTAGTTCTAGCATTGCACTGCAACTTTATGAAATTTTTAAACTTCTTGCCCGCAGAGACCTTTTGATTCTTTGGGATATATTTCCTTAAAATCACTTAAAAACTATTTCCCTGATTTTAATATAAAATATATCAATAAATATATGACATTAAAAAATATTTCAAAAATATTTACAATTAGAATCCCTTGCAATTTCTCACCGTGAAAGAGAAGTTGGGGCAGGGACACATGAATGAACACAAAAAAAACCATTAAGTGTCTGCCGGGTTGACAGTATTCGAAAACAGTTGGTGCTCTGTTAGGCCCCCGACGCACCTCTCGTCCATTAAATAAAAAATATAAAAAAACAACAACAACAAGAGCAAACTTCATTTGCATTTGCCTGTTGTTCTGTTTGGAGCGTTTGAAGGATGCTTTGGACGGAGGAGCAGTTTCTTTATTATTTTTCACTCTTGCTTTTTTTTTCCTCACCTTTTTTGTTTAGCCTCAATTGGGATTCCTGGCGTGGGTGTGACTTGTGTTTGGTATTTTACGAGCCAGAAGGTAACAACAACAACAACAGCAGCAGCAGCGGCAGCGACAACAATAATAAAGAGCCTGTCGTGGGTTTATTTGCAATCAAAAGAGTTATGAGCCAAATGCAAATAGCGCACCCAGTACACTTTTTTTATGATGCCCTATCCCTTACACTCAACTAAATGGAAATTGGGGCAAAAATCGAAGAACCTCACAAGCCTCTTAAGCAAATTCAATAAATAGTATTGATTTACTATAAAGGTGTTTTACACTAAATACCAAAATGTTATTTGTTATATTAAAATATTTTAATCGTGAGTATTCTTTATTGTCTTTCATTAATATGTGAAATTATTTCAAGTCAAGAATAAAGAAGAGATAAAATGCAACGATAGCTTGTGATAATTAGCTTCCCCACTTATTGCGATGTATTTAAGTGGCTTTGTTACACACTTTATGATGAAATAGCCATAAATCTGCCTTGATATGTTTCGTTTTTGTATTTCACTTAAGTAATAAATAAGATAATAAAATGTGACTCATTTTCATTGAAAATTGAAATGAGAAAATATAAAAAACTAATACTTTACTATTAAAAAGAGTAGTGTTAGTGCAGTGTACTCCCTTGGTTCCGGCAGTAGAACCTCTGACAACAAGGTTCAGGGCTTAAGGTGTTTCCCTGGTCAAGATTAAATACCTACCCCCTTTGCGGCATTGTAAAATGCGTGAATGGACAAAAGATGAAAAACAGGAGAGAACCTAGGAGAAACTTCATCAACAGAGGAGTCTGGCCAACAAATTCGCCGCCAACAACTGTGCAAACAAACCAGGGGCGTTGGGCCGAAAGGGGAATGAATGATTGTCAGAAAGAAAGAGGGGGGGAGGCGCGACAGACAGGGCCTTCATATAGTGCAATCCAATATTTGTTTATGCCAAAGAGAGTACAACAAACAGGGCCAACTAAATGTGCGCAGCCTTCCTCGCTCTCTATCACTAATATGCCCCCCTTATTGTACTTTTACCCCCTCAGAAGCCAGAACTATGCATAAATGGGGAAGCAGATTCAGGCAGCTTCACAATGAATTGCTTTTGCTAAATTAGAATTTTAACCCCGCGGGGCATGACGATATTCGCGATAAGTAACTCAATGAGAGAAAGCACTTGACTGTGGTGAAATATATGTATTTTTGAAATATTTCTTAAGATGGATTTAGCATTAGACTTTGGAATATCTCAAGATTATACTTTTCTTTTAGATAATAGATCAATACATTATATTTCGCATTAAATGTAACAATAAATATATATCTCATTTAATAAAGAGTACAAAATGATGTGTCATAATTTTATTATAAAAAATTAAAGCCACAATAATTAATTTAATTACCACAAAGTTCACTGGCATCTATATTATTGAATGAATACTTTGCATTATTCTTCATTGAAATGAATAAAGATTCATTGATGTTTTCCTTTCACTTGAATTTTGCATATACAATTTCATTTTCTAGGGGATTCCCAGTTCGTTGTCATCGTAAAAAATTCACTGATTCGCGTTTTTAAAGGCCTTTCCGTCAGTGTTTTCTTAATTTGTGTTGAATGCGAGTTGCCGCGAGATGCAAAAATGTAGCAATTGCAATTTGGCTAAAAGCTAAGCACTGAAAATGTACGAAAAAGCGCAGCCGAGCAGCGTGTTGGAAATTGTCCGCCTCGATTCTCTTATTCAGTGTTCTTTTTTTTTCTTTTTTAGAATTGTAAACATGGCCCAGACACACACACACACCCCTGCAAAGTGGCAAATAGGCTGGACCACATGGCGTATGCTTAATTTCAGTTTCTCATTGTGCTCTCTTTTCTTTTTTTGACATAAAAGTACCAATTAGGCAGGCACTCGGCGCCCCTTCTTTTAAAAAAAATTCGGTCATAAACT